AAAGAAAGAAAGAAAGAAAGAAAGAAAGAAAGAAAGAAAGAAAGAAAGAAAGAAAGAAAGAAAGAAAGAAAAGGAAAGAAGGAAAGAAGGCTGAATCAGGCAGTGGTGGCGCACACTTTTAATCCCAGCACTCAGGAGGCAAAGACAGGCGGATCTCTGTGAGTTCAAGGCCGGCATGGTCTACAGAGGGAGTTCCAGGACAGCCAGGGCTACACAGAGAAACGCTGTCTCAAAAAAAAAAAAAAAAAGAAGAAGAAGAAGGAAGAAAAGAAATCAAAGCCAGGTGGTGGTGGCCATGCCTTTAATCCCAGCACTGGGGGTGGGGTGGGGGGTTGCAGAGCAAACCATGTCGTGGTGAGAGAGCCAACATGCAGTGTTCTCTAGAGCCTCTGCTTCAGCCTCTGCCTTGAGTTCTTGTCCCGACCTCCTTCAGTGACAGACCGTGATGTGCAAGTGTAGGCACAAGAAACCCTTTCCTTCCCAAGTTACTAATAGTCATGATGCTTCATCACAGCAATAGAAACCCGAAGACAGTGGCTGACTCGTTGATGTGAGACTGTGGAACTGGGCTAGGCCAGCTCCTACTCCTACTGTTTATTGTTCCCCAAGGGTCTGGTCTCTGCCTTCAATGACAACGGCAGGTGTAGTTCCCTTGTCTTAGTTCTTTGAAGAGGCTAGCTCAGTCCTTCTGTATTCTTGGCCGATCTCTAGGAATGCCACAGCTCCTCCAGCTTGAAAGGACAAAAGGAGAGGCATGACAAGAAGAGGTGCATATTCAGATGGGCTAGTGGGGAGTCCTTTTCATATAAGGCGGGGACCATTGACTACTGGTACTGGTTTTCCCCAACTGTAACCAAGAGAGTTAATTAGACTTAAATTACTGTGCCATGAGGTGATAGGAAGACAGGGCTGACAAAAGCATTTTTGTGGACTCTGATTTCTCATGCCCCAGCAACTGTAAATGAAGAACCCATTTCTAGAGAAGTTATCAGAGTGTCTCTGTCTGTCCTGGTGGTACTTCCTTTTTAGCTCTGGGGATTTCCAAGGGCAAGGACTGGTACTTATGGCACTCAGAAAGGAGGAAGGGATGATGGGAGATGCTGAAGGTCTTTTATAATGAATTGAAGAAGAATATCTTCCTGGCTTAGACAGATGACTCAGTGTTTAGGCGTATTGGCTGCTCTTTCAGAGGACCTGGGTTCAATTTCCAGCAGCCACATGGACTATAACCACTTGTAATCCCAGTCCCAGGAAATATGACACCCTCTTCTGAGCTCTGTAAGCACCAGACATGCATGTGGTACACAGACATACCTGCAGATAAAATACTCATACACATAAACAAACAAAAAATTAAAAAGTTATTTTTAAATTTTTTTGTTGTTTTGAGGCAGGATTTCACTAGGCAGTCCTGGCTGGCCCAGAATTCACTATGTAGACCATTTTGGCCTCAAACTCACAGATTGGCCTGCCTTTGCCTCTTGAGTGCTAAAATTAAAGGCATGCACCATCATGCCCAGCTATTACTTTACCCAAAAGATTCATTTATCTTGCTGGGCAGTGGTGGCTCAGGCCTTTAATCCCAGCACTTGGGAGGCAGAGGCAGGCGGATCTCTGTGAGTTCGAGGCCAACCTGGTCTACAGAGTGAATTCCAGGACAACCAAGGCTACACAGAGAAACCCTGTCTTGAAAAGCAAACAAACAAAAAAAAGATTCATTTATCTTATGTGTATGGATATTTTTTAAAGATTTATTTATTTATTATGTACACAGAAGAGGGTACCAGATCTCATTACAGATGGTTATGAGCCACCATGTGGGTGCTGGGAATTGAACTCAGGACCTCTGGAAGGTCAGTGCTCTTAACCTCTGAGCCATCTCTCCAGCACTGTGTATGGATATTTTGTATGCATGTATGGTTTCAACTTCCAGGAGCTGCTTCTATATTTCCAGCTTCTTGAAGAAGGGGCTTTCTTCTTTTTCTTTTTAAAAATTATGTGCTGGAGCCAGGAGATGGTGGTGCATACCTTTAATCCCAGCCCTTGGGAGGCAGAAGCAGGCAGATCTCTGTGAGTTTGAGGCCAGTCTGGTCTACAGAGGGAGTTCCAGAACAGCCAGGGACACCTGCTCTGTTAAGGTGTGCTCCACCACCAGAATCGACTAAAAAAAATTTTTGTGTGGGGGTGCTGAAGGAATGCCTCAGCAATTAATGGTTGCTCTTGCAGAAGACCCAGGTTCAATTATCAGCACCCACATGATAATTTACAACCATCTATAACTCCAATTACAGGGGACCCAATGCCCTTTTCTGAGCTCCATAGGCACCAACCACAAACATTGTGCACATACATACATACATACATAGTCAAAACACACATGAAATAAAGCGAATAAAAAAATTGTGTGCGTGTGTATGTGCACGTATATCACATGAGTGTGGGTGCCTGTGGAAGCCAGAAGACAGTGTCGGACCCCCCACAGATGAAGTTGCAGGCAGTCGTGAACCCTTTTATG